CAATATGTACTGTGAATACCAAATTCTCCCAAACCACTTTCCTTGTTATGTATCCCAGAAATTTAATTTATGTTTTTCTGATTCTAATTGTCTTTTTTCCCCATTTTCTTAAAATTTCCTCGCTGCTTACATGCTCCGACCCTGGCATGGCATTCTTAGCATCCTTCAGTAGAACCACATCTCTGTCGCCTCATCAATTTTCTTCATCTGTGAGGGAATTATCCAGCATTCACTACCATATAGGAGGATCGATATTACGCAATAGTATGAACACTGTTTTAAACGAAATTTTTCTGTGTCGTAATACTTTGTTCAGCTTTTAAAAGGCAGGAAATTCTATCATGTCTATTTTCTATTATGCAAATCAATGCTTTCACAATGAAACTGATTTTAGCCAATCAATGTTGGTAAAATATCCAAAGCACACTTATATTTATATGACTAATACAGAGTGCGATGGGTAAATTGTTGCCATTTTTTATTTTTTCATTACGCTCGTGCGTGTTGTTTGATTTTTTTATTTAGTCAACTGCATAGTATAGCAGGGTCAGTTGGGCACCGTCTGTGAGAAAAAGAGCGCAATGACGCAATTCCCACCGCCAGAAATTCAGAAATGGCATGCTGTACTGCTTGGCATTCGTGTCGGAAGCTCCAATACGAACATTTCAGAAGACAGAACAGAGGATTCGGAAAGAGTTGGATAAGTTTAGTGGTGATTTTCGAAGGTACGGCAGCACGGCAAACTCATCTTAATCGTTCTGGTAAAAAACGATCTGTAACATTTGGTTCAACTGACAGGATTAGATAGGTAGACCTATCACACGGTTCACAGTTCTCTCTGGGCTTTTGAACAGGAGTAGAGGTCTATCCCTTGCTTCCTATTTAGAATTGGGTTTCCGGTTCCTTCTAAAGTTTACTTCAACTCCATACTTCTAACCTCTCTGCCTAAACTCTTAAAAGATATTTACCATTTATTTATTTTATTAACTTTCTCCTCGATAGGAATATATAGCTACGCCTAACGCCCGGTTCATACTCGTCCCCAGTCTTTTGAACAGAGGTAGGGGTTTATCCGTTGTTCCCTCTTTTGGATTGATTTTCCGGTTCCTTCTAAAGTTTATTTCAACTGTATGCTTCTGATGTCTCCGACTAAACGTTGAAACGTTATTTACTATTTATCTGTTATTAATCAAGTGTTTTTTTTTCTCAATAGGAGTAAATAGGTTCCCCTATCGTCGGGTTCACACTCCTCCATGGTATTTAGAACAGGATTAGAAGTTTATTCCTTGTTTCCTGTTCAGGATTGGGTTACGGTTCCTTCTAAAGACTTTTCATTTTTTTTATTCCCGACAGCCCCCTTGCGTCTTAGTAGCATTATCGCCTTGCTTGGGGTGAACTGATTAAAAAGATGTTAAGGAAACTGTGGATAGAACATGTAAGAAACGAGAAAGTTTTGTTTAAAATATGAACCGTAAAAAATTTACTGCTAGAAAAAAAACAGACAGCTGGAATTTTTCGATACATAATAAAGAAAAGTAAGTAAATGGGGTCGTGAGTTACTTAGAGCAACAAAAGGAAGTTGTGCAGAGGCATAAGCGCCCACATCCTGAAAATCTTGTTATTATTCCTTCTTTTTCATTTGCTGTTTCAATTAACGTTTTCCTTTCTGTTTCAGGCAGTCCACATCGTCTTCCGGGTCGCCTTATAATATTCAGTGGGCAGACTGGCAAAGTACTCCGTTGGGTAGGAGTACCCGATAAAAGGGAGTCATACTACTCCCCTCAGGTATACTTATTACCAGGCGGCAAAGAAATGGTACTATTTGGTACAGGTGGAGAGACACATCCCGGTGCTCTTTGGCGTATATCTTTGTCAGATCTCTACGCCGGTAAAATGGAACGGGCAAGTAACATATAACATATATAAGTAACATATAATATATAACAAATATAACATATAACATAATATATAATATATATAAATAAGTAACATATAACATAATCGTGTCACGTAATTTATATATAACATATTACATAATATATGACATATATAGGTAACATATAATATATATATATATAACATATAACATAATATATAATATATATAAGTAACATATAACATATATAACATATAACATAATATATGACATATATAAGTAACATATAATATATAACGTATATAACATATAACAATATGAAAATAAAAATTCTGGGACAATCTCGAACAATGCGTGAAATGAAAAAAGAATTACATCCCTGACTCTACTCATTGGGTTTTCTGAAAGTGGGTTGCAGCTTTTAAATTGACCAAAATTGCAGTTTTAATAGGTCTCGTGTCACATAATTTATATATAACATATAACATAATATATGACATATATAGGTAACATATAACATAATATATGACATATATAGGTAACATATAATATATATAACATATAACATAATATATAATATATATAAGTAACATATAACATATAACATATAACATAATATATGACATCTATAAGTAACATATAATATATAACATATATACTTGTGTAAACGTCGATGGTTTCTTTTCTCTTTGAAAATAAATCTTTATTTTGCATATTGTCGAATCACCCTCATTAGCCACGTACTCCAAATGTAACAAGAACGATCCAATGAGCTTTTTCACAAGAACTTCTACATTGTGTCACAGATTCCTGCATGAATGCTCCCCTGATCACTACAATATTGACCTCTTCTTAACCTACAGTTTTCTTCAGGTATCTCTTCATCGTGGGTATGACGATAAACTACGTCCGACAGCAAGGCCTCTGGTCGGGAGATTTTGAGGAGTGTATAACCATCTCTTAATTGTTGTTGTTATCATGTCCACCCCGAGCCAGAGTGCTCGCTCGTTTTAAGGTCCCAAAGATAGGCAAATAGTTAACCTCCAAACTGGGGTCAAAACAATATAAAAATATAAAAATAAAATTATATTAAAAATACCAGCAATACATTTGTGAAATTTTTTTACCAGCAATAGATTTGACTCTCGATAAAAAACCCTCTTTACAAAAATACGACAATGAAACCTGATCTATAAATTGATTACTTACATAGAATACATACTCTATTCATACGAACCTATCCTAAAAATCTTGTCGGCTTTAAGTAATCCATTGAGCTTCATATGCCATAAAACAAAATAAATCAAACCAAAGAGTTCAGGTGTCAGTCACATCCAGGTAACCTTCAGGGAATTCCGAACTGAACGCATTATTTAATCAACGGGGTAGACTGTTCTTGTTTAGTGTTATCACGTCTTGTGTACTGAAGAAGGTCGGAGGACACAAAGGCCGAAATGTGATAAATCCAGCAAAAATGAGGACATTAGTGCCACTTCAAATAATGTGATGAAAGAGTGTATGTGTGAGACAGAGCGAGAGAGATATAGAGAGAGAGGGAGAAAGAGAGAGATAGAGAATAAGAGAGAGAGGAAGAGAGAGAGAGGGGGGGGCGGGGGCAAGACGAAAGATCTCCAGATATAGATAGTAGAACTAACATAGGTCAAATAAAGGGTTAAGTTCGAAAATCCAGAAGCTTATCCAGATCGACTGGCACTTCGAAGAAGGCCGGAGTGCACAACGGCCGAAACGTTGTAATAGCAATAACAAAGATGAAGACATAAATTGTAAATAATGTAAATAAAAAAGAGAGAAAGGGAATAGGACGGGGTACCCCTAGACATGGAGATCGAAACGAGAATAGTCTATTCCTGTAAATTAAATAAAGGGATCAGTTCGAAAATCCCTGAAGGTTCTCCTGGTCTACAGACACCTGAGGCTTACGGTCATAAAGCATTACAACATCGGTTCCCTTGTTATCAGCGAAGTTAAACAATGTCGAACCTGGTCAGTACCCAGATGAGTAATAATGGAATACTTGGTGCTGTAAGCTTGGGTGTGCGTGTGGTGTAATGATAATGGTTTGGAATTATTAATCGGAGAGCCGAGTTTCAATTCCAGTTGGATTCGTTATATTCACTTACACGCAAATCCCCTGGGAAAAGTATGAATCCACCTCTTCTCCCTCTAGCTATGGATTAATTAGTAAGACGTATCAGTAAGTCATTATTATCTTCAAAAAATTCTTCCAATTTAAAAATATTTTCTAAGCTTAAATTGCCTGCAATGTGTTGATAATCTCTAGAAAACGAATCACTAAATAAAAACAAAAACAAAAAAAAAAAACAGATATCTGAATAAGGCCGGAGAGCACAACGGCTGAAACTTTTGAATAATAACAACAGCTCTGGAAAGTAATTACTGGTCTTTCAAACTTGTTTCCTCATATAGCGTACATTGAGACGATTGATTTAAACTACATTGTTCGGGCGGTTTTCTTCATCTTTATTGTCATATTCACGAAGTTTCGACCGTTGTACGCTCCGACCTTCTTCAGGTGACATACGTTGGAATTTCGAACGGAACCCTTTATTTCGTCTACTGGGATAGATTATTCTCGTTCTACGTGATATGCCCCTTCTGGATGTCCCCGTTGCAGTTATTTCCCTTTAGTAACTCAAACCTCTAAGCTTTTGTTCATCCCCGCTGTGACCATGTATTGAATTCACAACTCTTTGGGTCAAGTCACTAAATTACTTCAACCAACGTTTGTATCTACTGGGCCATTTGTCCTCACGAAATAAAGTGTGCGGTTCGAAATTCCCTATATATAGCACTTGAAGAAGGCCGGAGCGTACATTGGCCGAAACATCGTTTATAAAGATGAGGACAACAGTCAGAACAATGTAAAATGTACAGTGTAAATAGTTATCTCATCTCAGAAATATAGACAGAAGTCAGTTATGTGCCATGCGTGATGCACGCTTAGGTGATCATGTATCTTTCGATACATGATTGACGAGGTAGAATTTTTTCCCGCAGTAGGTTGCTATTTCTTTCTACAGTAGACCAGTTGCTATCCAAGGCTATAGAACCCGGCCTGTTCTTTTATTTACCCATAGCTTGGGGTGGTGAGAAGAGGATTCATATCTTTCACACAGAAGTGAATGCAATGGTTCGACTGGAGTTCGAACTCGACTCTCCAATTTCTCAATCCGACCCGTTTTTCATTACTCCACAGAAGACTGTATTTTATTTTGTAATTCTTTATTCTGTGTGAGCAAACATGGCGCAGATATTGCGGTAACGCATTAAATTTTCAAATTTTCTGCTAACAGTTGCTGGCATGAACTCTGAGGCAAATAGGCCACCTGAAATATCTCATCAGTTTTCCGCCAACGATGTTTGGCAATTGTCATCCGTGTCTTTTTGATTTCTGGCCTCATATTTCTTAAGGTTCCTATACTCATTAATATTTTCTCGTTTCTTACATGTCATGTGGCAAATTTTTTTTTTTTAGATTTTCATTATTTTGGCAATCTTTAAAACACCCTCATCATCACCAATCGAAACGATTTAAAAATTATTTAGTGACGAGTAGCTGTCGCTTGATGAAAATAAAAATTCTAAGACAATCTCGAACAATGCGTGAAATGAAAAAAGAATTACATCCCTGACTCTACTCATTGGGTTTTCTGAAAGTGGGTTGCAGCTTTTAAATTGACCGAAATTTCGGTTTTACTAGGTCTCGTGTCATATAATTTTAATACTAGCAACATAGTTCTACTACCAATTTTCTGGTCGCTGGTAGTTATACGCTGAATACAATCTCTGTTTCACAGAGAAAAAAATACGAAAAAACCCAAAACAATACCAATTCAAATACTGCTACATCAAAAGACATCACTATCAACTTGTTCTTTATTTAAATGAAAAAAATAGATGCAAATACATTCTGTATAAAATATTTATTTTTCTTATTGTTCACCCAATTCAAGATCTAATACTCACTCAAAGTAGATGATTACTGAATGTGGTTGTTGTATGAACGTAAGAGAAAGAGGTAAAAAGATTCAGTTTATGAGGATATGTAAGAAAGATAACAGTTAACTCAAAGCTTAAAGTGTTTATGATTGTAGTGATCAGGGAACCATACTTGCGGGCGTCTGTTCCATAAAGTAACCTTTTTTAGGAAGAAGCCGTCCGAATGGAACTTTTTACTAATGAAATACGAAAGCAATGGGGACGATTCTGAAGGTCACAAGTGGCGGAACTGAAGAATGTAGCTCGTCAGAACATTTACCATAGAAATAGCGGTAAAGAAGTTAGAGGCTTGAGAAATTTTGTCTGTGACTTGTAAAGGGGAAATAGTTCATTATTCACAAGTCCGCGTGGACGCTTCTGAACTCATCAAGACTGGGAAGTATAAAAATCAAAGGAAAAGTGACAAGGCTGCATTTTCCCTACAATGCAAATATTGAACAATCCTACGCCGTGAGGAGAATCATTTTTACAGAAGTCGTTGTTTGTCTTCAGGTGATATTTCACCATCTTTGAAAAGGAAATCGCTCGGATTTTATGTAAAACGTTTCCCTTAAATTCTTTCCGAATCATTATGAAAGTTTCAGCAGGAGAAAAAGCAAAAAAGGAAAAATAAAATAAATGAATAAAATAAAATAAAAAAAAATATGTTGAAACGTTTCTTTTTATCAGCAGTAACAAACATCGCTAAAGGTACTTGCAACCACCGCAAAAAATGCCCACGAAATTTTTTTATCAATCTCACATGTCAGAATCTTTCAGGCTAATATGTACGGTGGTATATAGGTTCAGATTATGGAATCGGAGAACTGAGTTTGAATTCCAGTCGTACCCATTACATCCACTTACGTGCTAATAACCTTGGGTAAGGTATGAATCTATATCTCCCCCCCCCCACCAGCTATAGATAAATATCAACTAGCTTAGGAGAAGGAAAACTCTGAATTCAAACCTGTCTGGAACTGTTCGAATCTGCCCATGTGTTTATACATGCATCTGGGGACCGCTTGTGAATCCAAATTCCCACTGAATATCCAGATATGGATTTGAACGTCTGAATGGATACGACCTCTTCTCCGCTTGGTCAGCTTTCGTTTCGATGCGGTGGGTTCATTTGACGGAACCGGTTCAACCGATCCCAGGTGATTGTCTCAAAAAGTAACTACAAGCGGTAGTAGACTAATATCACTTTGCAATTCCGAGAGGTGTTCCGTGCGACCACGCCGAATTCGCGTGTTGCATTTGAATTCTTATTTTTTATGACGAGACTTGTCGTACATAAAGAAATTATAACAATAATCTGTAATCCAAAAAAGATAGGAAAGTTTCACACTTTTATTCCTTTGTATTCACTTTTCTTTCATTAAATGTTAAAATTCTTTTTTTTTTTTTTTTTTTTGACAGGCTCAGCGGATATGTGGGGACAGTACGAAAGGTGTAATGACCCCTCCAGTACTACTGGATCTCACCGGTGACGGCGTGTCGGATATTATTCTGCCCCTATACAATTCTACAGTCTTGGCTATAGACGGTCACTCTTTGGCCATTTTATGGAACCACACTTTCCCAGAATCAGAATCTTATAAGTAGGTACCTTTCTAATACTTCTGATATTTTTCGCGCAGAAAATATTTGTTGCGTCATGAGATACTATCCCAAGGGAGGTGACACTCCTTTACTGATGATGATTGAAAGACTCATCGCATATACTAAGCTATGAGGGTATGCTTAGTAGGTCTAGCATAAAAATAAATACAGTATGGGATAAAGAGAAATAACAGCAAAACCTCAAAAGCAGCAGCAGTAAGAAAAGTAATTTTTTGTACATTAAATATTTTCTGGTGAAATTATTTTGGATGTTAAGTGTCGAAATTTGAAGCCTTTTCTTTAAATTGGCAGTCTACTTTTTTTACTTTACCTTTTTACTTTAATTTTTTTTAAATTTAATTTTTAATTCTTATTTTTTTAATTTTTTAATTTTAATTTTTTTAAATTTTAATTTTTAAATTTTTATATTTTTAATATTTAATATTTAATTTGTTAAATAATATTTGATATTTTTTAATATTCTTAATTATTTAATTTTAATTTTTAATAATTTGATAACTAATATTTAATATATTTAATTATATTTAATATTTTTAAATATTTTTTCATATTTAATATTTTTAATTTTTTACTTTAATTTATTACTTTACTTTTTTTACTTTAAATTTTCAGTTTTGAAATTTATTTTAGCAAAATCTGTATGTGGTGGGATGCAAATCTAAAAACAAATTGTCGGTGCTCAAGATATAAGGGAAGCATTATTAATAGAATTGCATTATTATAATAAAGTAAAAACATTGCTAAATATTTTATTATGTAGTGGATAGTTTATTATAGAATTCCATCAGAAAGAGTTAGGCATTACAAATAAATGTATTGAAACGTAAATTGCTATAAAAATACTATAGCAATTACTATAGAAATGCATTAGCAATAAAAACAAAGAGAGGATTTTTCGATTTGTAGAAATATTACGACATATGAGGAATGTTCTGTTAATGTTTTTAGGTACTTTATTTCATGTGTGTACAAGGAAGGAATATTTTGTTTAAGACTATGTAGGAATCACCATCTTAACTTCCCTTAACAAATAACACCTATGCTTTGTTCCTGGGCGTGACCAGAGAATAGTCAAAGTGGTTAAAACAAAGGATAAGAACTTTTGGTGATACCGGCATGATAGTGAAACAACTAACCATTTCTTTGTATGAAAACCAGTAGAAACTACATTAATAATGAAATCGGCTCTCAAAGCATGAGTGTTGACCTCAGTGTACGCATTTATATATATATATATATATATATATATATATATATATATATATATATATATATATATATATATATATCCACAGACAGACTATTTCTGCTTTTTATCACAGCTCAGCAGTGTGGCTAGAGATCCAATTGCTTCAGGCCGGGATCGGAACCCGATAGATTTCGCATCAGTCAGAGATTCTGCCTCTAAGCTATCGTCGCACGGAGAAGGAGAAGGCAAATTTCAATGTTTTTACTATACTAAAGACGTCAGTGTCTTGGTGAGCTCGATCATACTTGAAGAGCACTGCATTATATATATATATATATATATTACCTGATGATCCGAAATCATTTAAAAAGGATTTTGGTGAAATAAATTATTGTAATGGCACCTTAAAGTGGTCTGTTTTTCATTAAATATATATATATATATATATATATATATATATATATATTTTTATTTAAAATTTATTTTAAACACACACACACACACACACACACACACACACACACACACATATATATATATATATATATATATATATATATATATATATATATATATATTAATACACAATTAAATCCAAAATCACCTCATATGGGGAATAAGTTTATTTCGACAGGCGAAAATTTAAATCGCCAGTCTTATCAAGCTCGGTATAGAATGAGTTCGTATTAGAAAAAAATATTGCTCTGTAATAATAAATACATTGAACTGTTTTTTGTGCATCAGTTTTAATATTTTATGTTACTATGATCCACTTGGATTACATACCAACTGATTTATTACCTTTACTATATATATATATATATATATATATATATATATATATATATATATATATATATATATATATGCATCTTTAATTGAAAAAGGCCGACAATGAAGACTTAAAGTTTTTTCAGCAATCTAACATGTTTCCGATTTCCAAAGTGTAAAAAAATATATGAAAGAAATATCCATAGCTATAATTGTTCCAAGCGATTTCGGCTACTTCTCTATCCACAAAAGCTTAAAACAATCACTGATCAACAATAATTTTCCCTACTGTATCTGCATCATAGATGAGCAAATAAAATTATTCTCACAAAAATACACGACGCCCATAGCAAAAATACAACACCGCAAAACATCAATATTTTTATTGCAATCAAATGCACAATATCTATAAGCAAGATGAATTTGCTATAAGGAAAATCATTAAACACCATATTTCTGCGGTAACTTCCAAAAACATATAAAGTTTATAATATATTATAGTAAATGGAAAACCGTAAAGCTCGTCGTCACAAACTGAAATAACCCTATTGAATCTAAATTAGCAGTGACCAATATTGTGTATCAGTTCTATTGCCTTTTGCAAGACTGTGTTACTTGTCAAAACCCAATGATTATATCAGACACACCACTACCTCACTGAGTAGACGTCTTACATGCCACCTGCCGCAGCAGAGTGCGATTAATAAATATTTATTAACTCATAACTTCCAAGAATCTTTAATGAAAATTCTAGTTGATACTCCAAGTATCCTTTTCAGGTAACATAGTCGTACACAGCACGTCATTATTAAACTTTATTCTCCCATGAATCAATCGAAAAGTATTTAGTAGAGAAGACGACGTCTTAAAAGTGTTCTATAAATAGAAGTCTTGCCCTGGTCAACTGGCCGCACATAGTACGTGACCGTCAAGAAGCACACACACCGCTCGATCTCCACACTGTAAAATTACTATGTAGCAGCCAGAGACAGAATTTCATCATCCCACACACATCTTTGAAAATGGCTAGAGAAGTAGCTGAAAGCGCCCGGAACAATTATAACTATGGACAATCCTATATTGTTGTTATAGTGGAACACACCTATTATATAGTTAATAGACTCTCCCACCTATAATAAGTAGAAGTAGTAATAGTAACGAGTCAGTCGCTGAGTGGGTCAGTCAGTCAGCGACTATAACTAGATTTCTCTGCGTTATACTTATTATATGAAGTTCCTAACGTTTTGTACGTCGAACCTATTTTAGGAGCGACTTAGTACGAATGCAAGCCTCCACCGTGAAATCACTCTACAACGATTGTTTAACCCCTAAAAAACGTAAAATGATAGATTGCTGGAAAAACTTAATAAAAGATTAATTAAATGTCTTTGTCGGTTTGCAATGAATGATGCACGAAAGAAAGTTTACTGCCCAAATACACATCAATCTCTCTCTCTCTCTCTCTCTCTCTCTCTATCTATCTATCTATATATATATATATATATATATATATATATATATCCGCAGTATTTATTAGAAAGGGCTCAATATCAGTGATAGAGCTAATAACATGGCTACCAAAACTATTATCATAATTACCATTGTCAAAATTGTCATTTTTAGCATTATACTTTAGTTTCCATCATCATTAGGGCTATATTTACCGTTAACACATCAATATCTGTTGCTAACATACCAATTATGATATCAATTAATAGCACTATTCACATAGTCACAACCGTCACTGGTACTATCAACATAGCCCTAATGGTACTATTAACATAGTTGCAATAACACTATCAACATAGCCATAATCGTCAATGGTATACAGGCAGCCAGCGTTGAAAATACAAAACTTTATCATCAACATGGCCACAGGCAGAATCCACTTAACCAAAGTGGTGATAAAAAGTCCAGACCAATAGGAGTGTATGTGCACGTCTACATGTGTGTGCGTGTGTGTGGATTTGTCAGGCGGCGCAGACGGCGGATCGGAAAAGAGTCAAGAACACCCCAAATTGTCCCTTGTTGAAAAAACATCGCTACATACAGTCTCGACCCCGAAATAGAATTACAATGTACGGAGGCACGGTGGAGTAATGGAGTAATGGCACGGATTGAGGAATCGGAGAGCCGAGTTCGAATTTCAGTCGAATGCATTACATTCGCTTACGTGCTAATACTCTTGGGAAAGTTATGAAACCTCTTCTCCCACCAACTATGGGTAAATAGCAAGACAGGCCGGTTCTATAGCCTTGGGTGGCAGAAAGAAATGGCAACCTACTGCGGTAAAAAAAACATCTGCTCGTCAGTCATGTATCGAAAGATGGCATATAACTGACTGATGTATGTATGCTCGAACGCATGGCTATGTATCAGCGGATTATTATTATTGTGTATCGGACTGTTCATATGGGTGTGTTTGTGTAAACTAAAATGCGTACGCCTGTATGTATGTGTGAGAGTGTCACCTCGAACGGACGCAGAGGAAAGTTCCCCTCTACCATCACGAAACATAATAAAAAATAAACAAGCATAAATAGATTCAAACTGAATATATATATATATATATATATATATATATATATATATATATATATACTACTACTACTACTACTACTATTACTGCTAATAATAATAATAACAATATAATATGTCCTGGAAAGGGATATATTTGATCGAAGTAGCTAATTGGGTTTGGCTACTGTAACCAAGTAGTATACAGTAACAGTAATCGACTGGTACTCGTCGTAGTCGCAGGTAATAAGTGTAGACCAAAAGAATAGCCAAGAGACTTAAACTCTGTCGTATCTATCCATCCGTATTTATGACGGACACCAGCCAATCATATTCCAGTGAGGGGTAACACAGGTGTATGCATATTCCATTATATCACAATACTAAAAACAAAATATAATAAAATTAAGAAAATATGAACTTATATACATTCAATTACACACGCACACTCACACTGCTGGTGTTAATAAAATAGTGCTTGATGTAGGATAACAAAACTAT